TCCTGCTGGTGATCCCTGGAGCTCAGTGGCTGGACGAACAGCTTTTCCAGTGAGGCTCTAATTCTGTCATCTTTGGATGCATGCAGAGTTGTGGCAATGGGTGTAAGGGTAGAAGGGGAAACAGCTTGCCATCTCCCTCTGCCCTGTCCCAAAATGCAGAAGCCCTGTCTCCAGTGCCTTTCTACAGGGACACTGCTAGATCAAGGTGCATCTCAGACATACTTGCAAATTAGCTTTGCAGCGTTTATGTTACAGCGTTGAGCAACAGCAAACCGACTGACTCAGGAGGACATGGGTGGGGGGATGTTTCAAACCCACTGAAGGCACGTGTGAAACCACTAAGGGCACCCAAGAGTGCTACGATCGCATTCAGCTTTCCTTCCGATTTACACCAGTGTTTTGCAGTGGTAAGCAAGGCCCCCGCGCTGCAGCTGAGTGCTCCATTAGCTTGCAGCTTTTGTGGCTTACAACACGGTTAAAGTAGGCATTAATAGTCCCACTAAAAGGCTCCCCAGGGGATCTGGCTGCTTTTAGAATGATGCCACGTCTTACTCTTGGCTTCATTAATTCAAAATGCTTTGTTCCTCCGCATCAATTGGGCACCACTAAACAAGATAAAGCATGCATCAGATGCTTTCCAGGTAAATCCTGCTACAGCTACCAAGCACAGCAGATTGGGCTGGCTCTTATGGCCATTAGCAACACACAGGTCTGAAGGCAACCCACTTTGAAGTAGTTATTGCAGTTGTAAACATGCATTGAGCTCTGGATTTACTATGCTCCATAACTGAGCTACCAAAAACCCCCCCACCAAGTCTCTGGAAACAAGCAAAAGCACTACCAAGGGGCAGTGTCTGTATTACATGGCTCACGTATGCGAGGTCCACAGTAAAAGGGGTAACTCTTGAACCATTTACTTAGAACCCATACAGTATGTGAGAGGCGGATGACATTTAGGATTGATTTTTATTTATAAGTGCTTATGTAAGGAGGTGCTGCTCAGGCTTCAAGGGGGCTGAAACCCAGGTGCTGAGCAGATAATAGTTTGCTGGGCTGGGAGAGTGGGAACCAGCTGGAGCTTGTATCAGCTAATGAGAAGCCATGAAGAAGGTTTAAAAACTCCAGAGGGGGAAGTGCAGAGAGAGAGGATAGATGTTACTGCTGGAGAGGAGTATGGGACCAGAGAGGCCCCTCTCCTACTGTCTGAAGGATAGTAGCAGGTTCTGGGTTGCTTGCTTGCTTACCCTGGTTTGGGATGATTTGTTCATTGGGCCTAGGAAGCTTCTCCATGAGGAAGAAGAATGGGTTCAAAAGCCTGTCCTGAGAGCTGACTGCCCTAGCTACAGAACTGGGGTGAGTTCCCTGCTTGCAGGGTGGCTGTGGTGGGAGGCAAGGGGGCACATGCTAATGCATGCACAAGTGCATGAGTGGATTCCCAAGTGCACTGCGTTTGCTGGGAGAAATGTATCCGCTTGGGTCACTATATGAAACCTGAAGGGAAGCTGAAAAACTCAATGAGAGGTTTGATGCTTCTTGTTTGGGACTGCACACTCAAAACCTGGATGGAGCACACAGGCTGCAAGCTAGGCAGACCACTAGCATTATGGGGTTGGATTAAATAGATGCACTTCATACCAAATCTAAACGGAGATTGATGTTTCTGTCAATTCTAATGGGATGGAACAAATGACCTAAACATCCTGGTTTCCTCCTCCTTTCTCCTAAGTAATAGGTTGTCAATGCACTAGAAAGTTGTGCCAGGATAATTGGGGGGGTGTGAGAGAGAGAGAGCATGCATGTGATATATGTGTGTGTGTGTCTGTCTCTGTCAAGGTATAAAATAGCTCTGAAGGGGGCTTCAAAACAGGGGTGTGTCACTAGCTCAATGACTTTGTTTCCATTAAATCAAGTGGGTTTTTTTTGTTTTGTTTTGTTTTTTAAGTCTGTGAATCAGATTATGCGATAGACAGTGTTCTCAAAAGCCACAGGTGCTCTGCTGTGCCATTTACCTGCTCCATTTTGCGTGGTTAAGAGAGAACCAAATTGGGGTGCTTTAATGAACTAGAGCTGCCTGTCCAAAAATTACACCATTCTCATGGTTAGGGTTAGTCTCCGTGCTCGGTCTTATCCAAGGATCACTTGCGTACCAGTTCTTTGTTGGAGATTCTTCTAGTATTTTGGGACAAGATTAAAAGGGTATGTAAGCACCTGACTCCCACTGAAAATGAATGGGAATTAAGCACCTAATCGCCCTTAAAAATCTGTCTCTCGGCACTTAACTTGCTTCTAGATGGTATAAGGGCAAAGGCTTCTGCCAATCCAGAAGAGCAATGAGAAACGGGTAGAAACACTTATCAGGTACACGAGTAGGTGTGGGTACTTTCCAGTCCCTGAAGTGAGGCATGAAAGTGCAATTCTCTAAGCAATTCTTGGTACTGTGCTTAGGAGCCCAGGGAGGAAAGTCTCAGCTCTGAGTTGCTGTGAAGGGTGGCTTGCTCTGGACTCCGAACGCTTTGTGAAACCAAAACCCTGCTCTGCTCCACCTTGTGATGCCGGCTGAGGCTTAATCACTTTGCACCTTGGTCGGAAGCTGGTGCTGTGCAGGACTGGAGGCCGGCCAGTGTCCCAGGCTGCCTCCCACAAAGGATCTTGCCTGCAGGATGCTCCGTTGGCTCTAGCCTGTATGGTCGGTCTGCTGCCAGGCTGCCTGACAGCCATGTCTAAGACCCCATGCAGGCGAGAGGGGAATGAGGAGCTGCACTGAGATCATCTCTGTGTGCTTTCTGCTAGGGACGGTGTAACTTGGGCTTTTACCACTGCTGTCTGTAACAGCAAGATCCCAGCAGTACAGCTTGTCCCTGCCTCACACGGGGTGAAACTAGACCTAGGGCTGGGTCACCGCACCTCTGAGCACCCACCAGCTGCAGCACAGGGCTGGACTCATGGATGCTAGGGTCAGAAGAGACCTTGACAGATCATCGAGTCTGACCCCCTGCCTAGGCAGGAAAGAGCGCTGGGGCCAGATGACCCCAGCCAGATGCCTATCCAGCCTTCTCGTAAAGACCCCCCAAGGTAGGGGAGAGCACCGCATCCCTTGGCCACCCTTACCATGACACAGTTTTTCCTGACTCCTGCAGAGCCTGAGGGACAACTGGCAATTCCTCTTTTCAAAATACCTTTCTGCAGGCAGCTCAGAGGCCCCCAGAGACTGAGCAAACAACATGGCCAGGAATCTGGAGGCACTGAAGCAGCCTCATGTGCTGGAGGTGATGGACGACCACAGAGAAAACAAGTATATGAAGCATCTTGCTTGTCAGGCTCTTTCCGTGCCTCTCCTACCTCAGAGAAGCTGAGAGCAGCCCAATGAGGGACTATTCGGGAGGGCAGCACTTGGAGGGACTAAGGGAAAGGCTCTCTGGAGGCTGTACAAGAGCATCTGCCCAAGGGGCATCAACGCACTTTTGTTTGCATGCATTTCATTGTGCCCCTCTGCAGAAAAGCCCCAGAAAAATATGCCCACTTGAGAGCTTCTTTTCTTCTAGGAGAAAAATCCATGCATGCGTCTCATCTTACCAACTAGTGCAACTGCGACTCCTTCATGGGAGTCCTACTGCGCCTCTGTTTGGCTCTGCTTTTCATAGCGGCAATCATTCTGAAATCCTTTCCCTTGCTGTGGTCTCTGGGCC